TAGTAGTAGTAGTAGTAGTAGTAGTAACAGTAGTAGTAGTAGTAGTAGTAGTAGTAGTAGCAGTAGTAGTAGTAGTAGTAGCAGTAGTAGTAGTAGCAGTAGTAGTAGTAGTAGTAGTAGTAGTAGTAGTAGCAGTAGTAGTAGTAGTAGTAGTAGTAGTAGTAGTAGTAGTAGTAGTAGTAGTAGTAGTAGTAGTAGTAGTAGTAGTAGTAGTAGTAGTAGTGGAGGTGGTGGTGGCAGTAGTTGTGGTGGTTGTGGTTGTATAAGTAGTAGCAGCAGCAGTAGGGATAGTAGTGGTGGTGGTGGCGGTAGTAGTAGCAGCAACAGTTTATGGTTATACCCGTAAGACACAGCCGCCGATAAGGCTGGGAGACTTCTCCCAGGGACGAGGATCCTTCTTGTACTTCCTCGGGTACTTGAAAGACAAAGGGCAACTTTATCCGAGACAGCTGTTATCAGATAAAAACCAAAACTGTTATCATGATAAGGACGTGCGGCTGGAGTATTGTGACGCGTTCAAGTGCTGCGTGATGGGAATTTTCCCCAAGGAAGTAAACCGGGTGTGTAAATGCTGGCTCCTTGTTTGTTTCGAAATGTATTTGAGAAAACAAGCGAGGTGAGGTGAGGTGAGGTGAGGTGAGGTGAGGTGAGGTGAGAATTATATAATTACCTCTACCATTCAGAGAATATCGCGGCCATGACGTCGTGCCAACTCAATCCGGGACGAAAACCCGGAGTAATGCAGATAGAATGGCAGCTTTGTAAAGCGGCAAAACACGTGCATGGTTGTTGTATTTCCTTCTCCGGAAAGTTATTTTTTCATCCGAGGTTACCTTTCTGCGGTTTAGTTCGGTTGCGGTCCTCAATTATACTTAGCTAAGTGAATGAGTGAGTTTAGTTTTACGCCCTTTAACAATATTCCAGCAATATCACTGCGGGGGACAGCAGAAATGGGCTTCGTACAATTGAAACCATGTGGGGAATCGAACCCGAGTCTTCGTTGTCGTGAGCGAACGCTTTAACCGCCCCCTAGGTTAAGTAGTGGTAGTGGTTGCAGTAGTAGTAGCAGCAACAGCAGCAGCAGTAGTGAGGTGAGGTGAGGTGAAATTGGGTTTAACGTCGTGCTTGAGAATATTTTGCTCATATAACGACGTGCGTGCGTGTGTATGTGTATGTGCGGCTGCTTGTACTAGCCCAGACTGGCAGCAGTAGTAGTGGTGGTGGTGGTAGTAGTAGTAGTAGTGGTAGTTGTTGTTATTGTAGTAGGTTAAGTTACAAGAGCTTTAGAAGGTGCACAAATCGTTACTGAAGTAGCATATCTATGTTCTACGGGTTGTGATAAGAATGGCAATGAAAGCGGTAGTGCCGAACAGCTGATGATATATTTGTTATCATAGGTGTGAGTGCTTGTTATTACACGTCTTAAACCAACATGTCAATCCTCCAGAGCGATGTACAGTTGTCAATTATACAACTCCACAAGCAGAGGCCACCGAATGCGGGGTACTCTTGACATAGATGTAATCCACAGACAAGCCTCTGGGTTTGTTGTGCAGTCTGTCAGCCATGCTTGTTTCAAAGACAAGTGCACGGCTTGTTTGTCCAGTGAGTCAACAACCTCGACATAAGTAAACATGGATGTATTCCGCGTTTAGTGTGAGCTTAGGAATCAGGGGATCTTCCAAGAGAAAATACAGGGGTTTGGTTTAGAGCATGTATAACAATTCATTAGCGTATATATCCTCTCTCTATTACATGTTGTAATGTATGAGAATATACTGGGCTAGGCTGACTTAATGAGTACTCTCATAGAGGGTTATAATTGTCTGCGTGTGCCGTCGTGTTCAAGTGCGCGTGTTTCCAGAGGCGACGCAACAGCCAGACAGGTAATGTGTGTACCTGCTCCCTAGCACACCTGTAATCAACAACAGCACGGGTTGTAGTGTTAACAGTCGTATTGGTAGTAGCAGAAGTATAGTAGCTTCAATAAGTAAATTTATCAAAATATATTATACATCTATCATATCTTTCCAGACAAAATGTTAATATGTTGTTTTCTTTTGTTTGTCTGCAATCTTGAATTTGTATTTGTATATGTTTATGGTATGTGCTCTTGTACCACCAGTGCTATTGGAAGTAGTAGTAGCAACAGTAGTAGTTGTAGTAGCAGTAGTAGAAGCAGCAGCAGTAGTAGTAGTAGTAGTAGTAGACTACTAACGCTTAGTCCCTGAATATATATATATAATTTTGATAGTAACAAATAAACCAATTTCAACTGAAAAGGAGCTAACGCTTAGTCCCTGAATGAGCTGAACCTGGGAAATCTAGACTTGCTTCATCAAAAGCTTTAGTATTGCAGGGAGGGCTGGGCGTAGGGAGAAATAATGTGGTTCAGGGACTGTGAGACAGACTATAATAGCAGGAGCCATAGGAGTAGTAGTAGTAGTAGTAGTAGTAGTAGTAGTAGTAGTAGTAGGTAGTAGTAGTAGTAGTAGTAGTAGTAGTAGCAGTAGTAGCAAGTAGAAGTAGTTGTTCCATAGTAGTAGCAGCAGTAGCAGCAGCTAGCAGTAGTAGTAGTAGGTAGGTTGTTCAGTAGTAGTAGTAGTAGTAGTAGTAGTAGTGGTAGAGCTGGAGCATCACCAGTAGAAGGTAGTTGTCCCGTAGTAGTAGCAGCAGTAGCAGTTATAGCTAGTAGCAGTGGTAGTAGTAGTAGTAGAAGTAGTAGTAGTAGTAGTAGTAGTAGTAGTAGTAGTAGTAGTAGTAGACATCAACCGTCTGACGGTATCTTTAGTAGTAGTAGAGGTAGTAGTGGTAGTAGTAGTTGTAGCAGTAGCTGTGGCAGCTGCAGCTGCAGTAGTAGTAGCAGTAGTAGTAGCAGTAGTAGTAGCTAGTAGTAGTAGTAGTAGTAGCAGTTGTAGTAGTAGAAGTAGGAGTTGCAGTAGTTGTAGACATCAACCGTCTGACGGTATCTCTACATGGGACTGTTATCGAGACGTCTATTCACCTCCCCAGACCAACCTACCTGCAACCCCCTGTTGAATTAACTCCCCAGACACACACCAACCGAGATACAACCCCCTGTTGAGGGCAGGCTCCATTTCAAGTCCAAATGAATTTCGTATGTGGCGTGGGAATCTGAGGAAAATTTACAGCATTGATAGCGTTGATAGCATTGCAAATGGCCAACATGTGCCACAGACACACTCGCCAGCGACACAGCGAGATCTGAAGTGAGATTATCTTACTTCGTCTTGCCTTTTGTTAAATAGCCACTAACTTCGATGATTAAGCAATAAGTCGTCTCGTATTCAGGATAGAAACCGTCGATCTAAGCTGCCAATGAGGAGATATGTTTATACGCTGCTTCGCTGTTTAATCGATGAGAATAATATACCATCCAGCGTTCCGTTCCCGAAAACACCAACCCCGTGGTTCGTTGACAGCTATCTGTGTATGAGAGTAATTTATCAAGTATATTATGCGTGAGAGAAATGCTAGAGTCAGTGAGTGTATTATATTAATAACACAGCGCGGGGGTCGTGTTGGGGGTGGGTCTGTCGCGTGCTGTTTAGATACATGATACCATTATAGATTGTCTGCTAGAACGTAAAACGCCATTAACCATGATCGTCGTCTTTAATTTATAATTTATATTTAATTTGTCCTTTGATTTAAACTCACATATTAGGCGTCTCAATTTCGTCATATTTACATCCACGACTAACCAGAATCCCAAACCAACTCGCCCTTCCCTCCTTCCCCCCGTCCCTCTCCGCCAAATCCCCGTCGCCCAGTACTGTACATACAAGGACAGCCTATTATCTTCACCCCACGTGGTCGGTCAGAAGGGACACGCTGTAGTATGTGGCCCCTCTTTGTGATCTACGACTGCAATATTAATAAAAAGAGACGTAAAATCACCTTTTCTGCCCGGGAGTGATTGTTCCGGCATTTCCGCGTAATTATATGAAATCACTGACGCTGTTTTACCGTGCCTCCCATTTTCATGTGTTTATTTTTGGTATATTCCTTTTTATCCGTGTAGGGTACAAACCGTTTCCTTTACAATCGTAATCACACCGTCCCTCATAACTGTCGGTGAAAGTCTGAAAATGGACGTGAATGACCCCGGGTCTGTCAAGTGCTGATTGTTCAAACCCAGGTTCTTGAAACAGCCCTGGCAGTGGCTGAAAAAATCACATCACATGCTGTCACATACCCCTTTGCCCCACGCCACCCCCAATAAAAAAATACACCCTTATTATATTTACCCTCACACCCCACCCTAATGGTTCTCCCTACCCCTACTTGTCCATCATGAATAGTACCCGATAGACACCCTCCACCCCCCTCCTTCCCCACCCCTAAAGAAACCGTATGTCCCTCCCACCACGCCCATAACCACTACGTCCATCCCACCTTATCTCAAGTCTGTCCCCTCCCCAGCCTGTAAGTGAACTCAAAACAACACCCGTCCTTCGAAACCTTAACCTCCTTCACTGCCCCTCCGCACTGCGCACTCCCTCTAGCTATCCCTGTCCACTCAGACCATCAGCAATTATGTCGCCATCCGCTCTCCCCCACCCTCCCACTTGTCAGGGTGCATGCTCGGGGGCTGGACTGTCAAAGTCACGAACCTAGTACCGTGTTTTCCAGTAGCGAGTGGTTTTACTGTTCACTTACTACACGTTTCGCCCACTTCTGTATATGGGCCAAACATAAGACTTACAATCACAGCAACATGGGGATGTAATTAGACATGTCCCGGTCTCTTCCATATGAGCTATTTTTACCAGACGATAGGAATGTCGGAAAATGTGACGATACCCATGAAAGCTCACATTTCAACTTTGACCTAAGGGGTAAGCGGGATCCTCGAGCTATTAGCGTTATACAGAGGAGGTAGGGATAGTGGCACGCGCTCTTTCATTGACAGCAATTAATCGGGCGAATCGGCCAATCGCAGCCAGTGACATATCGCCACTCACTCCCCTAGCGAGTCGGCCTCGTCAGTGTACGGAAAGAGATCGTCTGCTACGGTTGCGCTAACGCAAACAGTCCCATAACAAAGAAACCACTGCTCGCTCACACAAACGTGGATCTGTTATCGACTAGCTGTTTGTGACAGTGAGTCGAGAGTCGTGTGTTCACTTAGCTAGACCGTGTGGATATACTACAGTATTCTTAATTCGCTCTTACGATGCTGGTATCTTAATCATCGGACAGTGAATTGTCCGGGAGGGCGGACGAGCGCTCGTTGGAACAGCCAGTATTGGTATTGTTAAGCAAATATACGCGTGCCTTCTGACGGCGTAGACAGCTGTTCCAAGTGAAGTTCACAATCGCACAACCAACACTTTGTTGGGATCACAACGTCTTTGTTGGATAACATATATTCGTGTGTACGCAAACCAGCATACAGTGGAAGTAATTTCAACTTCTCAAAGGTAATTGTTTTGATTTTATGTTTCCTTCACGATAGGTGAACAAATCTGTCATGTTTACAAAAAGTGTTTTATCTGTTGGCCCGGCTCATTGTTTGGAGACACTTGTTACTGGGGTCACCGCTTGCAATGTATGTATCTCACTAGGGGCCAACTGTGAGCGCCTGGGGCTCTTGGGTTAGTTGCCCGCTATTGGATTATGTTTCTGTTTCTCAAACTGACCATGTTTCGTGATCGCTTATTAGCGGTCGGAGGATAGGAAACACATGGTGATACCTCAGACTGAAGTAACAAAATTGATTAACATACTGAGACAAATTGATGTTTCAAATTCCGTGTTTTTCTTCAGATCTACCGGTATTGTTCGTGGAACAGCTACCTGTTATCGTGTCCCCACAGGGATTAATGAGGCGGAGGGGTCCGGCGTGCACCTGCCACCCCAACTAAAGCTGCTGTAGATATGACTGTGGTATTATCCATGAACCCCCTGTGCACCCCCCACCACAGACTTTGTGGGGCTGATGAACTCCTCAGTTCGCCGGATCTTACCTTTAACTTTGTGACCTCTCCCCCTCGGGCAGATACCCCGGTTCCCACGCCCGTGGGGGACTCCACCACTCAGCCAGATGACGTAAAAAATGTGTCAAGTGTATCGGGTAAGTAATCTGAAAGTTAATTAAGTGATTTTAAGCTAAATTTCAAATACGTAAAAAATTTATAAAATATTTAAACATAACCTCGATGCTAGTTGAATATTTGCCTAACACATTAATGTTGTTTATGTATTGGAAAACCCTCCATACTCTATAATTCATATTCGTGAATATTAGAATATTAACCCTAACACTTCTTGTTCGTGTCGTAAACAAATTCGCACTGCTCTGTACACAACGTACAATATGACTTAAAAAATAACAGCATATTCTGTTTTAACAACCTATTACAAATGAATGTGACATTTTCGCTCTTTTTCTGTTCATGTCATTACACACGCATACCATAGATGATCTCAAGAAATATGAGATAACAACCTCCTGAGATAAGCATGTCCGTACACCACGTGGAGTCTACGTGCTGTACAGAAATGTATCTTTCACCTATCGTCTTAATGTTTGCTTTGTGTCATAGGCATATGGTCGTGTTTTACAAGCAACCGTCTTTGTTCCACATCCAATTATAAACCGTCTTCTATTTTTTTGTTATTTCCCAAGTTCCATTTCAAACCCAAGTGTAATAAAATCCTTACCACTACTCTCTGAAAGTGCATTAAACGATCTCCTTGCGCAGCAAACATTGATCTCATTGAAGCTTCACTGCATGAGACATACGATCCGGTTTGTATTTAACAGATCTGCTTTAATTGCTAAGTAAATTTTACGTGAATGAAACTACCAGTGGTTGTTTCATTACATAAATATTAGGTATTATTATGCGGTAGGATATTTTGCCTCTGTGATAAGAACATGTTTTGGTATTAATCGCTCGAGCGGCTTGTGGTTGACAAACGCAGACTGTTGGACTAGCGTGAACTGTAGACAAGTGTCTACTAAGCTTTCAGCGTTGATACATGCCATCTGTGAGTCGGGAGGGGCGAGATAGGGAGGGGGGGTTGGTGGGAGCTCTTGTTCGCTGCGTGTTTGCCGCATGTTGATAAGGACATGCATGTTTTGCCTACAAGGAATAACAACCCCAGTTCCGTGTTCGATAGTCGCACTGATTCTTAAGGATCGGATCTGTTCAAAGCCTCTGTCAATCAACCTTATCGATATCGATCCCATGGATCTGATCGAAGTCAGTCTAGCATTATTCCGGTGTCAATTTCAAGTTGTACATACAATCCGACTTAGGAAGTGTATTGTGCATTAACGGTATTTACAAGTGTGTTTGGAGGAAAAACACTGCCTGTTCGATGTTCAAGCCACATAGGGGATAACGCCATTGTCTGCTTGGGGGAAAGAGCTTCATTTCAACTGGGCAGATCACAAGCGCTCGCTTGTTCCCCGGTGCTTTGTTAATTGCCCCAGGCTTTTGTCAATTTCATCCATGTATTTCACGGATGACTTGCACGCCAGGCTGCAATAGACAGATAGGACGAGTGCAAGCACTCGGTGTGACACGAGTTATGATACAAGGACGCCTCTTGATGTGAAGCCAAGCGGGGAACGGGTAAATCTAAACAACGGCTCCCTGAAATAGATGAGCAGCGATATCAATTGTAATGTACATGGGTCGCTCTGTTATTAGACTATTACCGAAAATGCCCAGTCAACTACTGATAATCTCGTAATAATAAACCGTAATTAAATGTCATTCAGTTGGAGAGTGGTTATTTTTTCGACATTTGATTTAATTATATCATTAATGTAATAGGCACGGCTGAACTCTGGCTTAATGTTATTTTTTATCATCTTTTACAGACCAAAAAATGGTTAATGTGTACATTTCAGACTGGTACGTATTTCAGCTATTTTGATTGACAGGTGTCTTGACGAAGTGAAGTAGACTACAGGAAGCCTTTCGTGTATTAACTATTTGTTGCTTGAGGAAACTGACGCTTTATCCACGAGAGTCCTGTAAAACCATTATTTACCCACTGATCGTAACTTGATACATCTGAAATTGACACGTCTAGACTCCCAGAGCAATATTTGAAATTCTATCCGTTTAAAAAGCTCAAAATTTGAATACTCTGTTCTTATTGACTATTGGGTTTACACGTCCAAAATGCAAGGGTAGTGAAAGCTGTTAATGTGCATGCCTGTATCACTGCGGTAAACCTACCATCAATGTCATCTTTACCACCCTGCTGTTTGATCACTAATTGAACATATACAAAGTCACATCAAAGGTAGGGCCAAGGCATATCAGACATCCATATTTGATGATAGATATCCTCGGTGAGGGCTCAGTGGCTCATCATGGCATCCCAGATCGAGCATCCGTGCCACAAGTCTTGACTGCAAATCCCAGAAAGTGATTTATTGCCTTGCTATCCTCTCGCACAGTGTAACGTTACGAGAGCTATTCGGCCGTAATCAAAGCTCATGGTCTGTGTAGGCAGTTTAGCCCGAGGGCCGTCTATGAATGCATGCGTGGAAAACCTAAATATCTTAACTGTTTATTTATAATCGCCTTGTGTGTTGGTAAAAACTCTCACTGGTGTTATTTGATCTAGATGAGCTCATATCAGCACTAACACATTGTGATACAGCGACCATGGATCATTTCCGGCTTGGTTAGTCTGAATATCACGGTGAAATTCCCAATCTGTGAAAAACTGATGAAGATACAACCATTTGCATCGTGTCTAGGCATGTCTGTTTCTCAAAGCAAGTTCACACTTACAGCTCTGTATATTTGGATGACGGAGTGCAACCATCCGTGGATGAGGTTGATGGGCTCTATTGTGACTTAGTAGATCGTCACCTTTGTATCAACAATATGATTCGTCTGAGACGTTATTGTTACATAATGAGGACAAATTTAAATAATCCTTTTCCCCGAGAAATCCCAACATGTTTCATCACATCTGTAAAAAGCGTAACAAAAATATTTTTGAAACGTGTTATTGGCCTGTTACATAAAACACTTATGTTTTCATATAGATATAAAGTTGCCCTACGTAGTGATGTTAGGACTTATAATTAGTTTGGTAATTCTATAATCTATCAAGCATGAGTTCAGTATTAACTAGTTAAAAATGGAAGAGCTCGATACATTCGTGACAAATACGAATATTCTACACCCTTTAGTTTCAAGCTCTAAATGATAGTCATCTTAACCAAGCGGTATGCTAAATGTGTTTTGTAAAGACGAGGGATGGAGGTTTCTTTGTAGTAGGCTGTGCTCCTCGGAGACTTCAAACAAAGTGCCCAGCATGGAGTCGAGAATAAACTATATGTGACCTTGTACCTATCCGTCGACTTAAACACTGGCTTGGTGACAACAACCTCTGCATATCGGTCACCGTCGGCGTTGTCCCACCTTTCCTCAAGCCGCAGCAAACACGACGACGGGATCGATGCTCGGGCACCTGCCTGTCGACGACACCAAAGGAAAGGCTTATTCAATAATACAAATTGATACAGGGGTGTGACAGGGAGAACGAATAACGCCATTGTTTTTCATACTGAGTGGAAACAATACTTGCGCTGTATGCGTTTATAAGTAATATGTATTTTGTTCATGTAAGCAGTTAAAGTTTATGATGACATATGAGTCTGTTAAGTTTGAAAACACGTCGCATCCATGAAATGTTATGTTGATTTAGATAGGTGTTTAGCGCAGACCAGCCGTACTGGTCTTGATTAAAGCGTAAGTGAATGTCAGCCCGTGATCAACGAGTTTGTAAGTTAAAATATAGGTCATGTTTATTTACATCCCTATGTTTCAAACAGCGGTGTATCCCTTTAGCCCCACGTGTTCTTATCGCTCCTTGACCAAATATGAGTCCCATCGACATGCTGTATGGCGACCTGTCAATCAATACACGTCTAATGACCAGAGTATTAGCTTATCATTATCCGATTTACAACACAATATGGATTTGACATCGGCAGGTTCACTGCCGAGTATACTCTTCAACAGCGAGGGACCTTATTTCAATATTATGTCATTATATTGTTAGACTTGGGCAGGCCAACTAACGAAAACAAGTAACGAAACAACTACCGCTGGGACACCCATGCTTGATGACGCTGTGGGCGAGCGTCGTGGGAAGTACCTGTCTTGTTCTCCAGTCGTGTAATTGGTAGAGGAAAGGCTCGTCCAGCTGAGCAATAGAATGACCCTCAGTGTTGACATCATTCATTTCGCTCGGCAAGGGGATTGCTGATTTAGTAATTATTGATGGGGCTAATGGGGAAAAGCAAGAGTCATCGTCAGCGATCACGGACAAATCTTCATAGCTGTCGTCTGCCTTGTTGAGATCTGGAAGGAAGCCTAGGTCTTGGAAAGTTAGCTAATAGATGGCGGATTTTGACCGGTCAAACTGTGACGTATCAGACGCAGTTAAATAGGTCTGGGCATGTTGATGGTCAAATGGAATGAGAAGATGGATGGATCACGGGATCGCCGTGGTAGGGTTATTTGGTGGAAGTTACGAGTGGAATTAAGTCAGTCACGTTAACTGTGGAATGATATTGTAATGAAGCCAGGCAGTAGCCACGTTTGGTAGCAGAATAGGTTGTTCACTGGAAATGGTGCGTGGATAAAAATAGATGACAATGGCAATCGTATTCTTGTCTTGTTTACAAATGACTGTTCGTGTTACGCGTACTTACGCACGATTCAATTAATCATCTTTCCGTAATAGACGACTGAGGAAGAGAATTCGATCAATCAGAAGCTTTGTATCAATAAGAAAGGTTTGAATAAGAATATAAATACTGAATAAACGTTTAATGAATAGGCACGATTTTGAAAAAAAATGAATCATTTTAAAATTATTTTCAAATTAAAATACATTAGTGATAAAAAAAACAACTTAGCTGTAAATAAATCTTCGTTATTACCTAACTATGGTAACATCCTAACCAAAAATGATACCGACTAAAAGACATTAAACGAACTAAAAGGAATTAATTACATATTTGTCATGACAACAAGAGGCCTCTAATCAAGACATGTCGTGCCTCTTCATACTAATTCGCCGTGTAAATATACACCAAGGGGATTATTATTTATTATTATTTGATAAACAACGTGGCCATCGTGGGTGTAAATATATGTTTCAGTCTGTCATGTTTTAAGCGTGTATTTTGATTAGACGACCTACTGACAGCCCGACTTCCCGCTAAACGTTCTCGGTTAGTCATCTAGTATTTCTCACAGAGGAAGTTGTTTACCTAATGTCCTCAACACCCAGCGTAGGCACACCGGTTTTGATAACTCGCCTCGGATAGCACATCAACAAGATAACGCGTTATCAACATGAAAGGGGGTCACATAATTGCTATTGTGTACGACTTGCATCAGAAGTTGGCCACTTATATGGAAGTACTGTCAGGGTTAACTGAGCCTTGATTGCCTAACACAGTGGTGTTTAGACATCCACTGACGCTATTTCCCATGTTAGTCGTCACAGGCGCTAGTGTCGTTTCCGCGTCAATCAGGAAGCGGTTATTGGGCCAATTGGAATTCAGGCTTACGTGTGACCATATTCAGTCGCGTCACCATTCAGTCAGCAATATGTGACGTCTGACGTGGTTTTAGTGTATTTTTACACTGTCCGTCAGCATGTTTCCGTACAAGTCAGACTGACGGGCCGCCAAATTAAGCGCGCCCGCAATCAATACTAATATCTTGAGCGACAGCCCTTGGCCATACAGTAACTATCGTCGTGATGGGAAAGATGCTTTACTAAATCGCCATGAAGTCGACATTCATATTCTGTGCGTACAGCTAATGTACACATTACAATGTTTAAGTTTATTTTGTGTATATATGTTCAGTATTACGTATTCATTAGCGATGTTGAGTTTTTGAAAAGTATTTACATTGTTCTTTACCTAACAATCATAATGTAATGATTGGTGATTATTGCGAGGTGGTAAATGTTATTTCCTTTTTAGGTGTTTATATGTATTTATTTAATTTTGATATTTTTATGTTTCTGTTCATTTCAGACAAACCAGTCGGTGGGGAAAGTGTGAATTGTGACTTGGACTCTTCTGAATGTCGAGGAGTGAAAAGGAAATGCCCTTTAGACTTATGTGAGAATTTCAACGAGATTGTGCCGTCCAAAAGAATATCTCCATTCCTAAATACCCCTAAACAGAGGAAGGACGAAAGGAGGAAAGTGTTGCGAATCTCGATTCAGAAACTACGTCAAATGGATGATCCTGAGAATTTTTTGAGACGATCTGTGTTGATAAATAATACCGTGAGGCGAATGCAATCGGAAATTCGAGAGGAAAAGAGGACAACTTCTGTGTCAAAAGGCTACCCGTTTTATAAGAGAAAGAATGGATACGATTATGAGGTTGTGAACAATAGCTACTTGTCGTCTGCTCCGTTCTGTGAAGAACATATTCAAGTGGCAGACGACAACATGGGGGATGAGGTCACGGACGCTTTGGTGCAAAGTTTGGAGACTGGGAACTTCTCAACGTCGGAAACCCCCCTCGATACCTTCACAACAGATTCACAAAGGGAGAAACAGATCTATTCCGATATGGACACAGTGTTTAATAATTTGATACGTGCGTTAGGCGAAACTTAGTCGGATGTGTGTACGGCCTAAGAGACTGTGAACAAATTATCGGTATTGGATGCAGCTGGCTCGCAAGACGATGAGGAATTCCTCGAGTGAGAGTGAATGTGATTCCGTGATGGCGCGAGCATGGTCGTCTGCTCTAAGGCCCGACAGGCGAAATTCTCGTCTGCTGTTCCACACATGCCAACAATCTCACACATGCGCACTGAAAGCATTCTCAGCTTTGTTTTAACGATTGTGTGTTGCATGGATTAAATTTTGCACTGAGACCTCGAGTTGTGCCCAACAAGCTGAACGCGGTATAAATACTGTATATAATATATCGGATTTGTTTATTTGTTTATAATGACACCTGTTCGTGAACCAGCCCGGCTCATTAAGGACTAAACTAACTTGTTCTGTAGACGTATTACCGGATACCACTCAGAAGACCACAGCTCGTTTCATCAAGGACGCCTCATTGTGATTAGTTGATCCAAATCGATTTCTATCTGATCTGTACAGCGGAACCTCATTAATCGGAACGACCTAGTTTACATTAAGCTATTTATTCTGGTTTCCGGATTTAAACGTGTTGTGATTAAAGATTACTCTATCTAAACCGTCCCAATTATGAGGTGTCCACATTAAGGAGGTTCCACTGTACGTTGAAATAGTTCACATCGATATGCTTTACTATCCATTGTGACATGTCAAATCCTTTTTGCGACACATTTCAAAATGCGTCTATTCTGAACCTGTTCACCTTTGAAGGATTCATTATCAGTCATTCCATACAAACTGAACCCCCTCCCCCGGCCCACACCTCTCTCGAAATAGTTTCCTCAAGAGAAAGTCTTTATACCCCACAGATATATTATAATGACCCTACCTTTTGACGTCAGAGCTGCGTCTTGTAGATATGTATACAAATATATTCAGTCTCGAACAAACGTTTAAAAAATCCTTTGTGTAGAACCATGTAGAATTGTTATGTCTCAAGAGTTGAATTTATAAAGATATATCGATGATGTCTCATAAGGCCTTTTCTTGGGAAGTCAGATAATTTTAAACAGTATATGGAATGTAATCGGACCCTGGTCACTGGTCAGCTGACCACACGAGAGTAGCATACCTGAAAGTTAACAGTGATTGTCTCAGCTAAGCGTCAAAGAAATTCCTTCTCGTGGAATCTTGCCCCGTATTTGCACAACAGGTTGGGACATTTGGATAGCCGAGCCGTCCGCAAAATTGTACACTTTCCAGGTGCTTCTTAGTCTCAGCGAGGCACAGTCTGTGCTCTCAGTATTTTATATCTGTTAAAACGATGCTTTGTTAGTCAATTTCACAGCTTATTTGTTATATACACGTGTAAGCTGCTGTTCATATGAAATAGGGCCTTTGAATATACGGTAAAGTACTTCTATAACGAATACGCTTATGGATATAACGACATTTTTGTCCCTATTTGATGTACACTTTATTCGAAATGCATATAACGAAGTGCGGTCAAAACCAACTTAAACGGTCCCCGTGGATTCGTTATTAAAGAAGTTTACCGTATCAAATTGTTGAATTATTTGAAGACAAAATATGCACCCTTTGTTTGATTATTAATCTGCTTCAATAAGTGTTTCTCCGAGTATAACAATATGTTTTCTTCTGAGGGACATTTGATCCAAGTTTGCTCCGCTCAATTGGCCATAGAACCCCTCATATTTGAGGGTTTCCTTTCGTTAACGTTTAGCTAGTTGAAAGAGTCATGCGAACAACAGCTGCAAATCGATTTTGTTGTCATCTATTTCTGTGTACCAGTGTTAGTGCATAGATATCTAGTCCAAACAGCTGATATGAATTTTTCAAGATTAATGTCATCACGGGAACGCGGTATTGAAGTCAAACGTTTGACTTATTCAGTACATGATGTTAACGTGTGTACTTGTTAAGAGCAAAATGGCGGCTTACTGTTTTGTTATATCATGTAAGATGGCAAGCGTTATTGTTATAACAATTGTTATAGTTTATATCAACAATTACCAATCTGGAAACAGCGTTCATTTATTCGAAAACTAGTTGACTATCTTGAAATTGGTCTGCAGCTTTGCTAATGGAAAGGACTTCTTTTTTATGTCGCGTTTATTGGTTAATGTAAAATGAACGAACGTTAAAGATTACAAGTCCTTAAAGCAGCTGAATTAATAGCGTTATAACGAGGCAGCGTTTATATTGGGCTTGGATGTTGATTTGGTACTTGGCAACTGCAGAAATAACTTATTGTTCATCACACAAAGCGACATTTGAAATGGGCGTCCCTCATGCGTGATATGAATCCCAACGTGTCGTCATTATAGCTTCCGTTAGATGCGATGTGCCTTTGCGCTTGAATATTCCATATATGGAACAAGCAGCTGCACAATCATTCAGTAACGAGCTACGCTCAACGCACAAGTTGGTGACGTCACACGTTGTCAACGACGCCAGTCCGTGGTAGACGTGACGCCGAGGCACAGAATTACCGTTATCCTTTGAAGAGCAAGACCAGCACAAATCGGGACCACCTAGTCCATGCGAACCGCAGACAGGTGTCGCCCTGTTTGGCTTCGCGACAGATGGACTCGGGGCTGCTTGAATGGCAGCGCGTCATGTTTAACAATTCCAGCGCGGGCTATCGATACACCGGGCCAATGCCATCCATCTAAAAGATTCATGATACAAACTTGAGATCTGCAAGTGATACTCCCGTTACTAATATCAATTTGCCAAATCATAGTGTCTGTCCCAACTGGTAGTTTTCAAGTCGAAAATTCACACTCTTCAGTATTGACAGAATTTGTGCTATTATCTTCAATTGTAAATTGGAGCGCCGGTTTATTCACTCAGCTCGGCTTTATATCCATCGGAAATCCTGTTGTGCCATCAATGAGGAATAGCCCTCCGCTGCTGTAGCACGCAATAGGCCCCAATGCTAGATCAATACATTTCATATTAAAAGCTTTCAACTGAGAGATGGTTGTTCAAATACACTGGCTTAAGCACGGCGGAGGCACGGATGGTCTCTGTTGATGGGGGTTCCTGGGACTGGAACCAAGGCAGACATTTTGCCCCATGACTCGTGAATGATTTGTGAACACCACTAATGTGGTATACTTCTAAGGGAGTTGATGTTTTATTAACAGCCACGTTGATCTCATTACCTTAACGCTGAATCTGATCGGTAAGATCTTATGTTATATTTGATTATGAAATTAGGTTTAATTATTAAATCATTTGCATATTTAAATTTATTGTATTTGAAATGTGGGTTTACCGGATTGTTTTGTTTGACCTTGAGGTACATGTATTGATCTGAGGCCAGGTCTTATTCCTTTAATTTTAGGCGTAACCCTACCCCTCCCGATGCCACCCACCCACCCCCGCCGAATTACTCACCCACCATTCATTCCAAGCTTCACCCCCTCTCCATCATCAACATACATTATAGGATACAGAGGCCAAAGTAGCATTACATAAGATACAGACCACAGATGGCCAAAGTCCAACCGTCGCTTGACCAGTCGGCATCAGTAACAGATTGTCTCAACATAATTGTCACACAGCACTGGATCCTCACGGAGCCACGTGTCGTGAACTGAGAAATGTCACATGCTCAATTATTCATACCAGAATGCTTAAAGCTAAAATAATGTTTTTTGATAAATTGAAAAGTTTGCATAATCACCGAATGAAAATGACTTCCGTTTTAATTATGTTTTAAATACATGTATCATTATCTTAAATACAGAGAAATTATTGATGTTAAAAATGAATCTTTGTTTCGAAAAAACAGTGAAACCTTAGCAGCATGATGGCAAGGGTGCATTTACAGCCACGCGAAGATAATCGTAGACCAACAATGGATGATAAATCATTTTCATTCATTATCTCAGTAGGACATTGAAACAGAAAACGGTCAATTGCGTTGCTATTAATGTCCCAAAGTCACAGCTATATATGATTGTATATATACTTTTATGAAAAATGTGGCATAGATGAGATAAGGTCCAAAATGACATTTTGTACAATTTATTTTATTTATTTTATTTAAGAAATATGACGCCGAGGAGACGTATTACTGAAATAAATTGTGAAATATATACATGGATGTTTGTCTTTGTCTACCTGCACTGGAGTGGTGGGTTAGCCTAGTGGGTAAAGCGTCCGCTCGTCACTCCTGAAGACCCGGGTTCAAGTCCCCACATAGGTACATTGTGTGAAGTCCATTTCTGGTGTTCCCCGCCGTGATGTTGGTTGGAATAGTGCTAACAGCGGCGTAAAACCACACTCACTCACTCACTCACTCACTCACTCACTCACTCACTCACTCACTCACTCACTCACTCACTCTCACTCACTCACTCACTCACTCACTCACTCACTCACTCACTCACTCACTCACTCACTCACTCACTCACTCACTCACTCACTCACTCACTCACTCACTCACTCACTCACTCACTCACTCACTCACTCACTCACTCACTCACTCTATCTATCTATCTATCTATCTATCTATCTACCTGCACTGAGTAGCATGTTCACTAACTCGTGCAACAGCTAGACTAACACATAGTCTATGAATATATATTTCTGATGGAAACATACAATTCCTTTTGAATTGAAAAGGAGCCCCAAAAAATGAGATGGGGATTCATACACTGAGAAAATATAGACTTGATTCATTTGGTTGGTTGGTTTGTTGTTTAACGCCTCACTCAGCAATATTACAGCTATATGGTGGCTGAATTGTAAATAATCGAACCTGGACCAAACAATCCAGTGATCAACACCATGAGCATCGATCTACGCAGTTGGGATGCAATGACATGTGTCAACCCAGTCAGCGAGCCTGACCACCCGATCCCGTTAGCCGCCCCTTACAACAAGCATGGGTTGCTGAAGATCAATTATAACCCGGATCTTCAACGTAAACGCACGGGGCGCTACATTTAGGGCTTTAGCATTGCAGAAAGGGCCAGACAGAAGGGGAAATAATGCAGTTCAGGGACTGTGAGACAGACTAATGGAACAGCTTGAAACAAGATGGTTTTGTTTGATGGATGGAACATATCTGTGTCACAGCTGTTGGTCCCGCATTTGTGTGAAACATGTATAAGAACGAAACAGTTACTAATATCTCCAAGGCACATCTGGAGCCTTGTCAAATGAGAGATCATTATTGTATAACGTGTTGTGTATTTCAATGCTGATGATTGAAATGTACAACGTATGCGGTTTCACGTGCATTTAATGCATAATTATATGCAGCTCTTCTATATGTTGGAAAACTTGCGAAATTATCTAGACTTTGTTTGGTTTGTCAATAGTTGGTTGGCTGGTGTGTTGTTTCACGCGGCACTCAGCAATATTCCAGCTGTGTTGCGGCGGTCTGTAAATAACGTTCAGATGCCGAAGAATCAGTACCTTTAAAATCCTAGTAAACAGTGCCTTTATATCCATGTGAGACCATATATCATTAGGAGACAGTGCCTTTATATACCAAGGAAGCGGTCTATTGTACCAAAGGAAGCACTAATTAAACTTCTCACGAATTCGGTGCCGTTTTATCCGTAGTAGGCGATGCCTTTATACCCAGAGGAAGTAGTGCCTTTATACCCAGAGGAAGTAGTGCCTTTATACCCAGAGGAAGTAGTGTCTCTATACCCAGAGGAAGTAGTGCCTTTATACTCAGAGGAAGTAGTGCCTTTATATCTAGAGGAAGTAGTGCTTCATACTTGTCTCTATATAGTGCCTTTATACCCAGAGGAAGTAGTGCCTTTATATAGTCTTTATGTCTAGAGGAAGTAGTGTCTTTATATCCAGCGGAACTAGTGCCTTTATATCCAGAGGAAGTAGTGCCTTTTATATCCAGAGAAGGCATTGCATTTATATCCACAGTTGGCAGCAATATGTACACAATTAACAATACGTCTTATGTGTGACATGTATGATACTTCGACTGTCAGTTTGATGTTCTAATACACGTTCAGCAGATCCTGATTCAGACATAGGAGATAATTGCATGATTACAGTGTAACATTAAAATTACATCCACAAAGATGTTCACGCAAATAGATACAAGATAACATAAATAATATAAATATAACATAACCTAAATCGTTAGAGCTTTAAAACATTTAAAACGATTTCCCAAATATTGTAAAATAGAATTGTGAAAATGTGAATTTTATTTTAAACATGCAGTAACATGAACAACTGACAGATTCTTGAAACCTTTTGGTACTGGAACAAATGTCAACAGTTTTGTAAGAAGTGAAGCTTTTCAACCCCGTTTAAACAAAATTTTCAAAATCTTTCATTTGAAGAGGTTATTACAACGTCTGCCTGTTTCTATTTCTAGTTCTAAAGAGCGGCATCTTAGAGAGGCTAAAATAGACCGTCTGTAACTCGTGAACATAAGGTCATATTTAGTCTGTCTCACAGTCCCTGAACGACATTATTTTCCCACTGCCAATCCTCTCTCTGCAGTGCTAAAGCCCTAAATAAAGCAAGTCTAGATTTCCTCCGGTTCAGGTTCTGAATCTCTGGTCTCACTGGGGCTCCTTTTCAATTTAAATGGGCTTGAATGTTACTATCAAAATGATATATATTCAGAGACTAAGCATTAGTCTAGGACATATTCTGTGCTTTAAGAAGTGTATGGGCGTAAATGAAGACAAGAAGCAACTCAAACGACGAGGACGCCTGTGAGCCCTAAATGTAAGAACGTGTTGCAATTTGAAATCGATGGAATGCAATGTGCTACGAACACGAACCCGTAGGAGTAGAATTCTGAGGGAGAGGATTAAAGTCTCGGTGCTCCCGTACTTAATACGTACCAGTCAATATTAGATGAAATGTTAAGAGCATATTGGCTTTCAAAAGAGCTGATAAGGCAATACGCTCTGCCTTAAAGGGGGGCTCCGCTCTGTCTTAAAGGGGTACTCCGCTCCGCTTGTAGCCATGTGTATTCAAGCCTAAAATGTAGTTAGTTTGTTTGTTGATTAACATGGTGCTCAGAATAGTCCAGTCGTATAGCAGCAGTTTGTAAATAATTGAATCTTGACAAGACAATCGAGGGATTGACACAATGAGCACCGACCTACCCGGTTGGGACACGATGGCATGCTGAAACTTAAGTCACCGAGCTTGACCATTCGATCCTATTGGTCGACTCTTACAACAGTGTGGGTTGCTGGATGTCAGATATATACTGGATCTTGACTGAGTCACTTTATTAGTAGATTCATATATATTATAACACATGCGACAGAAGTGAGTGAGTGAACGACGCCGCTTTTAGCAATATTCCAGCAACATCACGGCGTGGGATACCAGAAATGGGCATCACACATTGTACCCATGTGGGGAATCGAACCCGGGTCTTCGGCGTGACGAGCGAACGCTTTAACCACGACTGACTGATTGACCGAGTTTGGTTTTACGCCGCTTTTAGCAATATTCCAGCAACATCACGGCGGGGGACACCCGAAATTGGCATCGCACATTGTACCCATGTGGGGAATCGAACCCGGTCTTCGGCGCGACGAGCGAACACTTTAACCACGAGGCTACCGCACCGCCCCTCATGTGACAGAAGACAAAGTTATAATTACATCAGTTAAACCTGCTGGAGCTGTCAATTAGCGAAGATATAGTCTCCCCATTTTCGCCCTTGAGAATTTAGTCCGAAAGACTGAATTTATGGTTTTGTCCGAAAGATGGAATTTAAGGTTTGATATTTGGGAAAATGTTTCTCTGACATATTTTTCCCAATGCTGATAATGAACTAGTGGGTTTCTATTAGCAACAGACAAACAAATCACAGCACATCCGGAAATGGACATGACACATAAAAGCAATGTGGGGAATCGAACCCGGACCCTCGGCGTGACAACCATTATTCCCACCCCTTGAAACAATAGAGAGCCCCTTTATGATTCCTGGTTATAATCGGTCCCCAGCAAGCTGGTCGTACGATGAGACTAAACTAGGACACATTGATAACTTGTCTTCGAATCCCGTAGAATGTTGCTCACGTGTTCGATCACTGAATTGTCCTGTCGAGATTCGATAATACAGACTGGGCTATTGCTGAGCGTGGGATTAAACAACCAAACACACAGAAGGTAACGATGCTATAAACTTTCTCTCGCTTAAAAGAGAACATTTCAAATCAGGTTAGTGCTTTTACCTGCTTGCATTTAAGTAAAGGTTAAAACAGTATTTGTCGACGAACCAAGTCCCCTTTGGTTCGCCTGGTGACCCATCTATTCCTTCGGTCTTCATCTCTTCATTATACACACCCAGGCTATAGTGTTTCTAGACGGATGCTCGTAACGCTGAATATAGAGTGAGTAATAAGGTTTTACGCCTTATATTAGTAATATTATTATGACATCACAGAGGCAGACACCAGATATGGCCCTCACCACTGAAAGAAACGAACCCGGATTTTCGGCATGACGAGCGAACGCTCAATCAACTAGCTACTCAACCGTCAGTGAATATATGTTGTCTGAAACGAAGCGAACAAAGCAAAACAAACAAAAGAAATAAAACCAACCAAACAAAACGAGAACAACCCCAAAACAAATAGAACTATTTTGACTCGATCCCTTAGCTTTCTATTAACATGCTAATGCTCAAGACAGAAATTGCTTTTAAGGCTAAGAATGTTCCACTTATACCGTTATCCAATGTAAAAAAAACCCCAGAATGTACCATTGATATACGATTATGTGACTTAAGCTACGACTCGAAAAGCATGCCCGCATGATTTGCCCGCTGGCCGAGTATTTTGGCAAACCAACACGGATCTATATACTCCGACGTGCAAGTGTGCAATATAGAACAATCAATACCAACACTGAAACTACTGTCCACAGGCATACAGGGAATGGGTGACTTTGTAATCAAATGTTTATGTCTGAACAATTAGCCCGTCCTCGCCGAGGAACCTGTGAAGAGTTTTACAGGGTTTCCACCTCGGTCAATTTCGCACCTAACGAGGTCGGATGCAGAATAACGTATAATGTATGTTTACATACAGTTTAGTTTTTATCTGAGAGATGGACTTATTAATAGGTTTTGTGAA